TGACAAAATCCTGGAAATTTTGAATATATTCCTACACTATGAAGATTTACAGCATGATATTTAAGAATTTTCATGAAAGCATGCGCATGCACGTGTGCTGCAATCTGATTTGCTGAAACTTTAAATGTCTATAACTTTCTAAGTTCTCAACCAAACGGGATGAAATTCAGAATATGAATAGGTATAATGGATTCCTACATTATGCTACTATCAAAAGTAAATGCAAGGACGTGCATGCACATGCGCACGCACACAATGCATTAAACGAAATTATACTTGAGTTTTTGATGTTCATTCAGAATTAAGAACTTCTAAACGTCAGGACATGTAAAATACTGAAGCATGCAGATTTTTTGACCCTTGACCTTGAAACTTAGGTCAAGGTCACTGGTAACCTGAATAAAATGTTGATATTAGCTATTTACAAAACTCACCTTGACCTATGAACTTGAAATCGACCTTAACCTTTGTCCTTGACCCAAGGGTAAAAAGAAACATGAAGTACATGTACATGTATCTAGAAACACCTTTCAGAGTTTATTTCGGTTGACAGGTTAGAATTTGAAGAGGTGGTGGTTTTTATTGACCTTGACCTTTCATCCAAATGTCACAACCAATCTTATGTTCTTGGAGTTTACAAGATTCAACTCCAACGTTAAATAGGTTAAGAATAAAAATAACCCCCCTCCCCCCGCAACAACCAAACAAATCAAATTAATGGCGACATAGAGAATCGCTGTTAAACTCAAATAACACCTCGGACTCACATAAAATTTCAGGAAAACTGCAGAAAAGAGCTCGAGGAAAGAGGATTAAAATATTTGATTTGAGTTTCCAAAGTATATAGAAATTATTAATTTATACGGAAAAAATTACAAATCCTGTCGTGTTTGAAATTAAAGTGCAGATGAACAAAGTTGGTATATAAGCCTTTTATAGCCTATTTATTCAGATGTCGTTAATAGCATTCACTTCTACTGATTTGAAATAATATTTTAATAACAAGCATCCTTTGTTTATTTTACCTTTGAAATTTATTTGAATTTTGTTTAGAATTACGCAACGCCCAAAAATAGCGATTTTCGGTATATTAAAAATCAATATACATGTACGCTCCTTCGTAAAATAATCAGGTATTTGCATTCATGAAAAAATATTAATAAGCAATATTGGTCTCATCGGCTGACACGAAAGTCTTTTTAAACAGCTCTTGTAAACCCCAGAAAGTAGCCCCTATGCATTGGAAAAAATGAATAGTTCCGGTCAAAAACCTTTAAATATTTATTTACAAAGTATATAAAATTTACTAGGCACAGGTACCAGAGTTGTCGAAATGGCCTGAGAGGAAATATATTAAAAAAATTCTGAACAGAAAGGAAAATCCCTTTTCCATGCATGGAACTACTATTGAATAAGTTCATTTTGATTGGTTAGCTGTCAGCGTGATACCCTGAGTCGAATTTAACCCTGCCCTTAACAATCGTCGAGAATAAAATGTTTTATAAATATGCTGTAAAAAGATATTAATATGTGTTTTTTTTTTTGATATTAAAGATTTGTTAATCGCTTAACCAACTGCCATAATCATCTTGCACATACATGTACATGTATGTGTTCGCGCATGCAAAACGTTAAACGATATATAGTTGATATCATTGTAACTTTTATATTCTTAAATGAAATCCTTGGATACTTTACATATTTATGAAAGGTCTTAGAGGAATAAGGCACGAAAAGGGACATGGGGAGCTTTTGGGGAACATAGTAACTGGTCCCCGTTACAATTAGCACTAGTTATGTTTAATCTTGGTCCCATTAAGGTTGAAATAAAAAGATTTGATGTATGTTGCAAACTTTTTTTTTTGGAAATGACAAACTGGTGGCGTAAACAAATACGCTTTCAAAATTTTATCAGAAAAATTAACACACCTGGAGCTCCAATTCATCCATGTTTAGACAGGAAGTCCAGAAATGAGGACAGAATGTAACACAGAGTCATTATATAGCACATCTCTGGCACCTCCATCATCAGGTGGTGAGTACACTTATGCTGTTCCTTGTATCTCCATGATCCGCCATGAACAGCACAGACTTGATGGCTCTCATTCCTCAGTCGTAGTGGTCCTGTTGGGATAGCTGTTTACTGGCCAGCTGGTACAGGTTTACGATCTTCCTGGACAGAGATTTGGCAGCAATGAAACCCTCAGAGAACAGCATGATCTCCACAATCTGGTCATAGTGAGGCATCATCATGACTACCGGCCTGAACTGGGACTTCAAGTTGTCAGGTAGATCTACCCTTCCAGCATATCTGTAACCAGAAGTCTCTGTCGAGACTGAAGCTCTACTGGTTTTAACTTATAGCAAAGGAAGAGAAAACTTCTTAAGCAGTTGGAAATTGAAACTTTTCAACAGCAATAAAAAGAATAATGATCCTTGATTAAGTCTCTTTATGTTCTTAGTGTAGACTATTTGCATGCCACATTATATTATTATCAGACTAAAACTGTATTAGAGTAGCATTTTGAGAGTATTTAAAGAAATTTCAATTTTTAGTAACCATGGCAACACCATTCATTGAAGTGAAAAACTGATAAACAGAATTATGTACCTTAGTGTAGTCTACATGTGTGCTAAGTTATATTGAAATCAGACCAAAACTGTAGGAAGTGTAGCATTTTTAAAGAATTCACAGAAATTTCTATTTTTAGTAACAACAGAATACCGTTCATCAAAATTAAAAACCTTCATAGAATTATGTATCTTAGTGTAGTCTACATGTGTGCCAAGTTATATTGAAATCAGACTTAAACTGTAGGAGGAGTAGCATTTTGAAAGAATTTCACAGAAATTTCTATTTTTAGTAACCACGGCAACACCGTTCATCGAAATCAAAAACCAATTGTGTGCCACACAGAATTATGTATTTTAGTGTAGTCTACTTGTGTGCCAAGTTATATTGAAATCAGACCAAAACTGTAGGAGGAGTAGCATTTTGAAAGAATTTCACAGAAATTTCTTTCACCTGTAACCACGGCAACACCGTTCATCGAAATCAAAAACCAATACACAGAATTATGTATCTTAGTATTGTCTTAGTATAGTCTACTTGTGTGCCAAGTTATATTGAAATCGGACCAAAACTGTAGGAGGAGTAGCATTTTGAAAGAATTTCACAGAAATTTCTATTTTTAGTAACCACGGCAACACTAGTTCATCGAAATCAAACCATACACAGAATTATGTATCTTAGTGTAGTCTACTTGTGTGCCAAGTTATATTGAAATCAGACAAAAACTGTAGGAGGAGTAGCATTTTGAAAGAATTTCACAGAAATTTCTATTTTTAGTAACCATGGCAACACCGTTCATCAAAATCAAAAACCAATACACAGAATTATGTATCTTAGTGTAGTCTACTTGTGTGCCAAGTTATATTGAAATCAGACCAAAACTGTAGGAGGAGTAGCATTTTGAAAGAATTTCACAGAATTTCTATTTTTTAGTAACCACGGCAACACCGTTCATCGAAATCAAAAACCGATACACAGAATTATGTATCTTAGTGTAGTCTACTTGTGTGCCAAGTTATATTGAAATCAGACCAAAACTGTAGGAGGAGTAGCATTTTGAAAAGTTGTTTATAGACAGACAGACGGACAGACAGACAGACAGACGGACGGACGACGGACGCATTACTATCGCATAAGCTCTTCTGGTCTCTGACCAGTAGAGCTAAAAACATGCTTATCACAAATAGTCCACAGAGTTTACATTAAATCCAATTCATCATTACAAAACCTAAGTTACCTGTAAATTACAACATATGACTCACGTGGGATTCATTGTAATTAAGTATCCACACATAGGATTCAGTTTGATGTCTTTTCCTGCAAACATAAACCTCAGATCCTCTCTGTCTTTGGCCTGTTTATGTGTCATGGAAATTTTTCATATGACCCATAAAAAGAGGTTCAGCCTCTATACAGTCATCTTGAAGGGTTTTATTTTCTTAAAATAAAACGGATTAATTAATGATTTCAAATTCTATTCTTTAAAATAAAAAGTACATGTAAGGGATCAATAGACTTTGAGAAGACTTTTCAATTCATCTCAAATAAGTTTACTATTTTTAACTAAAGGCAACTTCATTACACAACATGGTGCAAAACATGAATATGTCAAAACAAATGACTTCAAATTAATGGACATAATCTCAAATTAAGATCAATTAGTTGTAGAAACTTTACATGAAACTGCGATTTGTCTGAAAGAAAAAGTTTCAATGTAGACCGATTCCATTTCCTATCAAGATATGATATCTTACTTAGTCCACACAAAGACATCCACTTTTTTGATCTCTTGCTCTATCATGCCCAGTAAGATGTCTCTGTTGTGCACATTGATGGTCAGTAAAGCCATGATGCTCTCCCTTTGAGACAGAATGTTGTCGGAGACCATGCGAGCTAAAATGTTCACGGTGTCCACCAGCTTGTCTTTAACTTCAATCAAACTTCATTACATTGGGCAGGGCAAAGCAATGAGTGACATTTTTGTTAAACAATCACTTGTGTCTGAAAATAAAATACAAAATCAATAAGTAAAATGAAGAATTTTGTTTCACAGAGACCAGTAGCTAATAAAAAAATCCTGTACAGTTTTCTTTAATATCAAATGTAAGACAATGTGCATGGTAAAATTATTTCATAAAGTATTGTTAGGTAGCTATAAATGGCTTTGTATTATACATTGCTCCTTCAGATAATTCTTACTACATACCACAGTGAGGTCCACTTGACCAGGATGCTTCAGGACCCATTCTCTTTGATCTGCTCCAAGCCAATCTGCCAAACCTAGCTTCAGGTGTCTAAACAGATAAAGATTAAGTACATTTTTAGACAATTGACAATTTAGAATCCTTGTAATATGATATTGATTAATAGGATAATTCTCTTAATATGATATTCTGGACAATTTTTCTGTAATGTAAAAACTACTTACTTTTTAACATTGTCTATCATTCCATTTTCCACATAAACCAACCATTGTTCAACAGAACCTCTGGCTCCTTTGTTTCTAAAAAAACATTCAATTGTATTATCTAAAATCTCTTACCTATTTGACAAGTTGGGAACAATCCATGAGGAAAAAGGGGGGGGGGGAATGAAAAAAAAAGGAAAATTCTATACAGATCATCAAATTAATATAAACTACATACTTAAGCATGGCAACTCTTTCTCCTTCAGATGAGATCATGGTTTTGATGGTAGGTGGATTCTGACCAATCTCTAGATATTTGATGTTGCTGAAACATTTTCCAAGATGAGGCTACAAATACAATACAATTTTTATTTCAGTGCCTCACCACAGCATGATATGTCCGTCAAAAAATTACAATTTTCTTAAACAGTTTAGAGTGCAAGAAAATCATGTCAACCTTGATTCTAAGATTTCCATTATTTTTTAAAATATTTATCCATCCCCTGTGATGTAGGCTTTAATTATAATAAATATTACATCATTGATAGATTTCTATGATGGTTGTGTTAGACCTTTTCAAATGTCTTGCTGCATTTCATTTCCGGAAATATGCATAGCATTTCCGACATTTTTTTATTTCATTTCCGACATTTTTTGTTTTCATTTCTGACGTAATTTTGTTTTCATTTCTGGAATTTACCTGTGAGGCAATTCAATGATTTCTAAGTGAGTGAAAATGGAATTTTAAAAGTTGTATTTATTACACTAGAAATATGTCCATAGGACATGAATGCCCCGCCGAGGAAACATAAGTATCCGAAGCAAGTCTGGTAGTGTCCATCCCTAGATGCATCATCCATACAAGTTTGGTTCAGGTAAGGCTTATAGTTACTAGGGTATAAAAATGTAGGTCAGATCCAGCATCTGAAGCAAGTCTGGTAGTGTCCATCCCTAGATGCATCATCCATGCAAGTCTGGTTCAGGTAGAGCTTATAGTTCCTTGGGAATGAAAATGTTGGTCAGATCCAGCATCCGAAGCAAGTCTGGTAGTGTCCATCCCTAGATGCATCATCCATGCAAGTTTGGTTCAGGTAGGGCTTATAGTTACTTGGGAATGAAATTGTAGGTCAGGTCCAGCATCCGAAGCAAGTCTGGTAGTGGCAATCTCTAGATGCATCATCCATGCAAGTTTGGTCCAAGTAGGGCTTATAGTTCCTTAGGAATGGACCTGCTCCAAAAACTTTATTCTGGTCACTCATCTGGAAAATGTAGGTCAGATCCAGCATCCAAAGCAACTTTGGTAGTGTTCATCCCTAGATGCATCATCCGTGCAAGTTTGTATCAACATATGTGAAGTTTGATAGCACCATCTTGAATGGTATGTTTAAAACTGAGCTAAACACTAATTTAAGAAAAGTGAGTTCAAGGTCAAAGGAAAGGTCAAGGTCAAAAAATGTTTATGCAGTTGCATAGCTCTCATTCTGTTACGTCATCATACCAAGGGAATCACATGAGATAGCATTACGTCTGCGTAATAGGGTCAGTGCGTTGCTTCCGCTTGAAGTAATGTAAACCAATTACTGTAAACGTATTATATTTGGCTGTGTATTCTTTGTTGCGCCTTTTGCGCCAATTTTTTTTCAATACAGAAATGTCTTGCACATTACCGTTGTGAAAATGCGCTAAATCAAATCTACGCTAAGTTGTTCAAAAGGCAGTTGTGTGCCGCCAAATATTGAAATACACGCCAAATATAATACATTTACAGTATTATACGCGTTTTTTTAGCGACTGGCCGCTAGAGAACTAATCCGCGACGATTTATTTCCGCGAACAAGTGGTCATATCTTTTTTTCCACAAGTATTTTTTGTTTCAAAGTAAAATTTTATATCCGCCCATAAACTACAAAATGTAGGTAAAATGCTACCTTGAGTGCTGTTTACGCATTATTCAAACATTCTGTGCATTGTGTCATTTAAAATCTTATTCCGCCCCTAAAGTGGGTAAAATGTTACCATGAGATACTGCTTATGCATTATTCACGATATCGGAAAAAATAGGAGATTAAAGTTGATGTTAAAACCTCAATTGTAAAAGATTTATTAATTGGGTTTTAAAGGAAATTTTTTGGAAATTTTCATCATACAAATTAGTCGTGGTGATTAAAATAACACAAGCTTAAATAATTAAAGACATTTTAAGATAAATAGAATTTGCCAAATTTTTTTCTGAATGTTTGTGCTTAAATTTCTACTGAACATGTATACAAAAAGTTCTACATGATTACTTATTTGATCAAAGGTATTCAAAAAAGGGCAAATAAATCTAATCATAAATAAGTATAATGAACAATGGTTCGCGTTTAAATATCCAAAAAAAAAAATTCAATACTTGGTTTACAAATAGGGCGCAATTTTTTTTAGAAGAGCTCATTACCGTTGTGAACGGTGTATCATACGAGAGTTCAATTTTTTCACCTTATTTGTCGTAGAAAATATATACATTTTTTTGGGGTGAAGTATTTATGACAGATTTCATTTGTGAATTTTTTGGATTTTCATCATACACGTGGTGTTATCAACTTATCATGGCAGATGTATGAATAAAACTATTGGAGAACATGGAGAAGTTAGGTCCATTTTAAATAAACAATAACCAAAGAAATAAAAAAAAATTCAACAAGATGTTCACCCTACTCCCCAATACTCCCGGTCTGTTTTATGATAGGAATTATAATTTTAGGCATCAAGTAAATTTTAAATGTCTACACATATTAAAAAAATGAAGATATATTGAAGACTTTTAAAGAATTGATTTTTTAAAATATATTTTGATCAACATCACAAAATTTATATAACTGGCCCAAACTGGCAGATGATGAAATAAGCAATTAAATGTTCTTCTTTCCTATTTTTAAGCATTATGTGTCCAGTAGTAAGGAGCCTATTAGACATGTTAGAATAGCATAAAAGAAGAATGTACAAATGTTAATAATTGATTTATCAAAAAACATTTTTTATTTCCTTCTCCTTCAAGACTTTTTATTCTCATGTTCATAACTAAACAGATATTTTTGAAACAAATACATAATTATCTCACCAGCATGTCATTGTGCAATAAAGTCGTCGGCATTTTATTTGTCTTTTGAACGGGTGAAACGTTTTGAATGGCACTCGTACCGATGAATTTTACACTAAACCAAGCTAGCTTTATTATCTTAAAACCGGAAATGCGATTTCGTAAATTTGAAATCTAATCCTATTGATCCCGACTCAAATTTGACATCGGAAAGAAAAAAATGTTTTATTTTTTTCTGAAAATTAAAAACCTTGAGCGGAGGGTTTGTAAAACAGAAAATAAAATAAATCCTGGCCTTAAATATGTAATTAGATCATTAGTATACAGTCCCTGAAACGTTCTACTTTCCCATTTTTCCGTTCGCTCACCGTTCGTTCAGCGTTCGTTCAGCGTGCGTTCACCGTTCGCTCTCCGTTCACAGTTTTGCGTTCACCGTTTACCGTGCGCTCGCGTTCACGGTTCACAAAACGTTCACCGTTCGCTCTTCGTTCCGTTTACTTTGCGTTCACCTTGCGTTCACCGTTCACTTATCGTTCAGTCTTTATTGTCATTCGGAACTCCGAAGTGAAAGGACTTATCTTTTTGATGGTAAGGATTTACACGTTTTTTAATTAAATAACTAAGATATCGTGTTTGAAGAATAATTATTTCAATGCAAAAAGTATCTACGATATTTATATTTCTATATTATAACTTAGCTGTTACTTTATCCATAAAATTTCCCTGGAAAATAATACATTAAGAACCTACATGTAAGTAGAACGAAGCTAAAATATTAAATTTAAATAAGGGCAATGTACAAATACTTCGAGCGCGGCATTTAGTTGTACAATGTAAAAGACGACAAATCGTTATTGGATGGATAATAATCCAAGTCTTTTACAAGACCAGAATACACAAAAAAATATTTCTAACACGTATTTAAAGAAAAAATGCACGAAAACATGCTAGAACTACATATAGGTCTGAAATTATGAATAGTACTGCAGATATTCAGTTAATTTAATATTTGTAGACCGAATTAAATTGATAGACATAAGTGTGATTTTAAATTTTAGAAAAGACCAACTGTTTAAAATGTAATACATTAGAATTTTTGTTCTACTTCACGTATATAAAGTGTATAATTAGAAAGGAAAAAAAACCTTCCTTCACCGTAACTAAATAATATGTTTGCCATTCAGCATGATTAAGAGCCCCACCCCCCCTCCCCCCGGTGCCTTTTCTCCCAAAATCAAATTCTTAGTTAGTATTTTCAGTATATATTAATTAATATTCAATGTGTTTTATAAGACAAACAAATCATTCTTAAAACAAACATCAAAACAATCATTATATACATACATGTGCCGACAGTGGTATTTTGATTTGGCAGGGATTATGCTTCAAATTCAATTTCAAACATAATCCTTCCAGGTATATACATGTATTACCATTATTTATTTTTTTTTCCGTAGAAAAGCGAAAATCAAATGTAGAAATGATGTCAAAAATGTTAAAAATTCTTTGAAATACTAAGTGACTCTTTGACTTCGGCATGTTCGGTGAAGCGAGATTTCAACACCTCCATTGTGTCGAATTATTTTGATTGACAGGACAAGCACGTGCACTTCGAGTGAACCATGTGAACTTGATGAAGGAAAGTAAAAGCCGAGGCTTAAAGCTTACTGTCAAACGGATTTGTTAATGGGAGGTAGCAAATCAAGCCTCGTATAGAGAAATTTGGTTGTCAGCAACTCTTCAAAAAAAAAATTGATTACTTTGACTGCCTGGATTATTAGAAAAAAATGATGTGAATTTTTATTCGAAGCAACAGATATCTGAGAATCGAGGGGTCTTACATCTCTCTCTCTCTCTCTCAAGTCTCTCTTGCTTTTACATTTGTCCTGTTAAATAAAGTCTATGACAACATATATATTATTTATTTAGTTCGAAAATCTAATCTATTACAAAAATTTGAATGCCTGTTTCCATTATCATTTCCGAGTATAATCACGGTCGGGAAATGTCTTCAGATATACATTTACATGTAAAACTTTGCTAAAAAAAATAATCATAAAAATTAAAAATAACAAGTTTATATATAAAATACTTGCATTAAAATTTAAAATACGGGTGTATTTATGCAATACGCTGTACGTCAACAGGCCTTTGTAAATTAATAAAAAATCGTTATTTTACACCGAATCGCCGTTGCATCGAAATATATAGTATAAAGTTTTTACAACTGTGGTACAATGTAATAAATTCATTCTGTAAGTAGCAGTTTTCTCTTCTGAAGCCCACATTATTTTATTAGTTAAAAGAATAAGCAGATTTATTTTATTAGTAAATTAATTTTATTTTATATACTACACGTGTTCGGTAACAGTTACACATGTTTTACGGCAATAAAAATCGTGTTATTAAAATATTGAATTGAAACATCATACGTATGTGCAGAAAAAACTGTTTTAATTATTTATTCACTTATTTATTTATTGTTTATTTATATTTTAGCATCTAACATTAGAATACAACAGAATAGTTTAAATGCAAGGAAAAATTATCTTAAAACCGGAAATGCGTTCATCTTGCGTTCACCGTTCGTTCACCGTTCAAATTTTCGACATTCTGCGTTCAAACCGTTCTCCGTTTTTTTTCAAAGTTGCGTTCAGCGTTCACACATCGTTCACTCACCGTTCGTTCAGCGTTCGCTCACCGTTCAGGTGGGAAAGTAGAACGTTTCAGGGACTGTATTAACCAGAAGCAAAGGATAAGATGTTCAAAGAATTCATGCATTTCACTATATAATCATAAGAGCCCCACCCTAAAACAAGAACCCCTGACCCTGGGGCCATAAAATTCACAATTTTGGTAGAGGCACTCTTGCTCATCATAACTATGTACTTAGTTAGTTTATTTAATACCCAGGAGCAGAGAAGAAGATTTTCAAAGAATTCATTTATTTTCACTATATAATCAATAGAGCCCCGCCCTAACACCAGAACCCCTGACCCTGGGGCCATAAAATTCACAATTTTGGTAGAGGCACTCTTGCTCATCATAACTATGTACTTAGTTGGTTTATTTAATACCCAGGAGCAGAGAAGAAGATTTTCAAAGAAATAATGCATTTTCACTACCTACTTATTTAGCCCCGCCCTAGCACTAGAACCCCTGACCCCAGGGCCATGAATTTCACAATTTTGGTAGAGGACTCATTGCTGATTACAATCATGCAAACAGTTTGACTGCTTGATGTCCAGGAGTAAAGAAGAAGATTTTTAAAGATTGCATTAATTTTAGTGGTTTTGGCCCCACCCCTCAGGCCCCAGGGGGGCAGGGATCATGAAATTCACAATTTTTGTTCCCCTTCACCCATAGATGCTTTGTGCCAAATTTGGTTGAAATTGGTTTAGCGGTTTCAGAGAAGAAGCTGAAAATGTTCAAATGTTAACACACGACGGACGACGAACGACGGACGACGACGGACAAACACGGATGGCAATAGGTCACCTGAGTGACTCAGGTGACCTAAAAATACAGTAGCTGACAGATGTTCAAGAATTTTTAATGATCATACAGAATGGATGCTTAATCCAAAAATATTTAATAAAATAAGTGCATTATGGGGACCATTTGATATAGACATGTTTGCATCTAGACTTAATAAACAATTGCCAAGATATATTGCATGGAAACCTGACCCCCAGGCAGAGTTCATTGATGCTTTTTCAATAAACTTTAAAGAATTTTATTTCTATGCTTTTCCTCCTTTTAGTATCATAAGTCGAGTACTTCAGAAGATTCAAGAGGAAAAGGAGGAGGGGGTAATAGTGGTCCCAGTATGGCCTACGCAAACGTGGTACACAAGTCTCATGGAACTTTTAGTGGATGTTCCCCAGATAATTCGGAAAGCTCCCAATTGGTTGAAGTTGCCACATTCGGAAAAGACACATTCGTTGAAGATGACACTGATGGCATGTCGAGTGTGTGGATCAAGTTGCAGGAACAAGGAATTTCTTGAGAAGTATTACAGATTATCAAAGAATCATGGAGAGGATCCACTAGAAGTCAGTATGCAGGATTTATTAAGAAATGGACAAGCTTCTGTAGTTAAAGGTGTATTCATCTCTTTCAACCAACTGTGAATGATGTGTTAGAATTTTTATTATTATTACATAACAAAAATTTAAGTTACAGTTGTATCAATACTGCCAGATCAACATTATCTTGTTTTGTGAAAATAGATGGATTAGATGTTGGTAAACATCCTTTGGTATCACGATTTATGAAAGGTATTTTTCAGATTAATCCAACAAAATCTCATTATACTGAGAATTGGGATGTGAATGTTGTTTTTGAATATATTCGGAGTATGGAGAGTAATGAGTCATTATCACTAAAACAATTGTCACTGAAAACCGTAACTTTAATGGCAATGATTTCCTCTCAAAGAGTGCAGTCTATTCATAATATATGTTTGTCAAACATGATTGTTGATGATTCTAAATATGTTTTTTATTTAGGGGGATAAAGCAATCTAGACCTAATTGTAAATCATTTTATATGGATTTGAAAAAGTTTCCAAGTGAAGAAAAATTACGTATTTTTCAATGTCTGGCAGAGTATTTGAAACGCACAGAAACTATTAGGAATGAGTGTGACAAAGTGTTTATTAGTTATTTTAAACCTCATAAACAAGTGAGCAAAAGCACTATTGCAAGATGGATCAAGACATTTCTGGGATTAGCTGGAATTGACATCAAGAAATTTTCAGCACATAGCACCAGGGCTGCTTCCTCTTCTGCGGCAAAGTTTAGTGGGGTTCCAATCGGGGAGATTCTGAAAAAAGCTGGATGGAGTTCTGAAAAAACTTTTCTGAGGTTTTATAATTTAGATATTGTGAAAAATAACCAGTAAATTTCTTTAACTACTAAAGATGTGTTTCATACAATTGCTGTCACATTGTGAAAAATTTTTTATTGCTGAAGTTTTATGTAATAAATGAATTACATTTGGACACTGGTTTTCATATTTAAAGGAAATGTGAATGCTGTAAGAGGAAGTTTGATAGGTTCTGGTTTATTTGACATTAAGTTAACTTGACACATCAAGGCTTTAAAATCTCACGTGATTCCCTTGGTATGATGACATAACAGAATTATAAAATTAAACATGACTTACCTGTAAGTTGAAGTTTGATTGAGATTCTGTTACGTCATCAGGATACCAAGGGGATTACGTGCCCACCCATTTAGTCCCACCCAGTTTGGGGCTGTGGGTGTGGTTCTTGATGAGTCAAGTTGTGTCTTTTAAAGACTGACCCTATTATGCAGACGTAATGCTATCTCACGTAATCCCCTTGGTATCCTGATGACGTAACAGAATCTCAATCAAACTTCAACTTACAGGTAAGTCTCGTTTAATTTTATAATCAATATCTATCAGCATGTGAAGTTTGATGAACATATCTTTGATAGTTTCTTTGAAACTTAGCTTTGAAAAGAGCTAAACGCAAAGTGTGACGGAAGGACAGAAGGACGGAAGATGGACATGACAAACACTATATGCCCCGGCCATATTCATGGCAGGGCATAAAAATATTGAAAATTTTATTTAACAAAAACATATACACACATATGTGCTTGTACATGTAGCACTAAGTCTAGGTAAAAGAGTTCAATGAGCATTAACTTTTTAACCACATCTAATGTGTACTAAATTTAACGTCAGTGACAGCACCACACCTATATCTAAGTCATTGATAGATTTACAAAACTCAGATATTGGATTTCAATGATTTATTTATGTTTTTTTTTTTCTTTAAAGTCTTCAGATCTGTTACTAAAAGTACTACATATGTTTTTGAAAAATGTCGGAAATGAAAACAAAAAAAAAATGTCGGAAATGAAAAATAAAAAATGTCGGAAATGAAAATCTGATAATTACTAAAAATTGCAGAAATGAAATGCAGCCAAATGTCTATCATATTAAACAATATCAAATTAGTTTTAACACCTCAATCTATACCAAATTAATTTTGAAAAGGAAAGGCTGACCATCAAATTACATATGCTTTAAACTGACCAACAGTTCTTCTGCCTAATCCCCAAAGAATACAGATAAGACTGCTTGATCAGAGATGCTCTAAAGAAATGATTGGGACAGCTAGCTTTCCCACATTGAACTCATTAATTAATCTTTTAACTGGATGCTTGTCCACTCATCACTACCAAGAGATTAATGGGTCTGCACTATCTACCATAAAACATTTTTAAAACACATAAAATACTCAAAAGATATTTTTTTGAGATTTAATGTCAGACAGGGTTTAATATGTAATTCGAATGGACATGCTTATTCCATCCCACCACATAAAATTAGTTTTTAAATTAATAATATTATATAAAATCAGATTAGTCTATTATGCATTATCAAATTAGTTTTAATTACTTTTCATCAAATTCAATTTAAAATTTGACTAGCCAGTAAGAGCTATTTTTAATCCAACAGGCTTACCCCATTTGCCCAATACCCAAGGGATATAGATAACACTTATGCTCTACCAGTTAGCTCCTCACACTAAACTCATTAATTTGTCTCTAATTTGACATGCAATTTTCTGTTATCAAAATTCTTCTTGACCATTGTTTGATAATTACACTCATGGGAGAAGTGGGATTTCTCTAACATACATTATTTTTGTTATAGTATATGCTTAAAAAAGTATTTTCTTGATATCACACTTTTTAATAAGGATAGTGCAATACTCTTACATTAGTTGGGATGTGTAACTGAATAGTAAAAAGACACTTTTTTTTAAAATTTCACTTAAATTAAAGGTCACAGTGACCTTGAAATAGGTCGTGAAACATCTTCAACCTAAGATGGATAAACTGGCCAAGTTTGATGATTCTAAGTCTTGTACTTTTCTAGTTAGCAGCTGTTTTGTTTGATAATCCTAGGCCTTATAGTATTAAAGCTATGAAACGGAAACGAAAAAGCTAACAGACAGACAGACATGAAGCTTATAACATAATATGTCCCGTCTTAAGATGGGCGAATAAATAGTTAAATGGAAAGAATATTTCTAAACATGCGTTAATTGGGGATGATACTTTAATTCATTTTTGTCGATCTTTACCTGAACAGCATTGAGATCTTTGGACTGGGCACCCAGGATATCCAAAAGGTCACCAGTACTAAGAAAGTAAAATCTGGGGAAGACAACTCTTCTGGAATCTAAATACTCCTAAAAAAGGAAATGCTCGGTTAAAATTGAAACTCACCAGACAACTCCATTAAACTTACCAATAATAAAGCAAAACTCATTAAATTTCAAAATTAAAGTAAAAAAAGACAAAAATATATTTTTAAAAATGATCCCCTAGCAGACCTCTAAGCTTTTCTGTATTTTCTCTAGATTCTGTCTACAGGACTGGAGGTCAGTGTTTCTAGGGTTCCTGTGGTGGTCGCCGCCTTCGGGGCGTTCCGGCGATCCTCCACCCTCCTCATCATATCCTTTCAAGATTTGTCCACTGCAGTGAAAAACTTAGCATCTCCAGGCAAAGCCCTGAAATTAATCATACATAAAACTGAAAAGTTCTCTAAAGTCATTTCAGTTCATTAAAATGTCTGTGTTTGAATTTAAATTCTGAGAAGTCAAATTCTCTTAATCGTTGCATCATCAGTTAATTAATCGGATACAAACCTTCCTAAAAGTTTCCTCCCCCATAAAATATAAATGAACAAATTACCTCTGAATATCTGGGGCACTAAATATTGGCTCTAAGTAGAGGTACATTCTCTGTACTGTCAACCATTCATCTTAAGTTCTAGAAAAATAATTAGCTTGCTCTCCCATTGGTCAACTTGAGTCTAAAATTAAATCCAAAATGTCTTTATTACCAAATCACTAAAATGCTGCAGCAATTTTGACAGTTTCATTTTTTGTAAATTAAGAGACTATAAAAGATAATGGCTTTAAGGTAAACTATGGCTCATTTCATACAAGGGTGGTAAATGTTTAATCTTGCCTGGATTGGAGCAATGTATCTTGATGCTTTGGTGGTTCCTTGACTTTCTTATAGCTGGGCCATGTTGTTGTCTGCTACAGCAATAATAAAGGTGTCTCTGCCCTGGTGGGGAGACAGATGGAAATCCATGTTCTGCCACAAGTTAATAATCTGCAAACAAGAAAATGATATTTATCATGTTTATGATGACAGAAGCAAAAAATAATGGAATGGTACATTTTAATTGTATATAAAATATTGATTATGTTAATAATTAGAGTTTATTACCAAAAACAACTCTATCTAGAATTTACAGGCTTTCTATAAATAATTTCCCTCAAAGAGCCCACATACTAGAATCATGTGATTTATCTAACCAATCAGAGCAGTTTACAATCTTCGAAGTTTCAGCAGTTGTGTTTACATACAGTAAAGATTTGTTCATACTTTATACTTTCTTTAACGTTCCGTTTTTGGACAGATATTTCTTATATCGGATTAACTTTCGAAATGTGAAGTGGGAGACTTAAGGATTTAAGTGCGTTACCCTAGTGAATGAAAATGAAAACTCGGCAGCTTGAAATATGATACGATGACTGTGTTACATAAAGTTTGATCCCTGGGTACTTAGGATAAAAGTTTGGTGACATTTACCTAAGTGAAGTATTTCATGTGAAGAAAAATAACATTGTTCAATATGCCGCATAGAAACGCAAAAAGAAGTGAAGATTCTCACCCTATTTCGGAACAAAACGTTTTAGGATTAGGCCTAGATATGACCAATCCATGAAATTGGATGGTTTCAGAACTACGACAAAAACTCCATTCCATGGGAATTTCCGTTCCTAAAAGTTTTAATGCAACCGCATTGAGACAACTATACTACGAAAATGTCGAAAAAGCCAACCGCCAGGAAACAAATTTGATTTCGCGGGAAAAAGTAGAGTTGGGTGGATGTGACGTCACGGAAACCATTATTAGTTCTGGGGAACCCTCTCAAAGCGGAAGTACAAGTGTAAACAATGCCAGTGACAATCTCGAGTTACTTTCGACTTTGCAAATGATGGCGCAATCATGCTCAGCGCTTCAACAGACAGTAAATACACTTCTGGAAAAGGATAAGAAAACTGAAGAGAATCCTCTCCAGAAAGTAATGACAAACGCAGAAAGAGGAACATCAGGAACGACACCTTCGATTCATGGGCAAATTCAAAACACAGGTACGCTTAACACTGTTAATATAGGGGTTCCATCGAAAGAAGTAGGGCACATAGACCTAGTAAATTCTGACATAAGGAAGAAAATCTTAAAGGGGGACGACATCAATTTGTGTGCATTACTAATACCTGCATATGAGACTCAGCTACCAACATCAGACAAAACAGACAAGCCAGATAAGCACCTCTCGCGAAATCTCAGCATAAGCGAATTTGTAACTGCATTTGGGTGTTTTAAGCACATAATGTGCGCACAAAATGCATATCCTTGGAGACAGGAAGAATTAGACACATACCTGGCACACATTATTGAGGTTCATAATGTATGGCCTTCAAAGTTTTATGAATATCATAAACTTTTCTCCACAAAGTGTGCCATAGCACTGAAACAGAATCATGTGCTCATCAACTGGAGTAAAGGGGATGAGGAACTACTCAAGCGAGTTGTAGCTGGTGCTGAAGTCAGGAAATGTGAAACATGCAGTTCAACAACACATTTAACATCTATGTGCAGTGTTGAAACAAAATCTCAAGAGAAAGACAAGGCAAAACAGACAAGATCTTCAAGTCACAAAGATTGCTACGACAGACAGATTGTTTACGTAGAGGGTCAACCAGTATGTAATAATTTCAATTACAACAGATAAGCACTGCCATACTGTAGGAGAGCCCATGTGTGTGCAATCTGTTTTTCATCTGGACATGGAAAAAACAAATGTCCCAAGCAAGAGACAAGCAAAACTGCAACTTCAGAGACAACCAAGACCAAAAAACAAAATCAAAGCTTGTGACTACCTTCAGAGAACCAGCCTAAAGCCACTACTCCTATCAACATTGAACAATTAAAACATGATCACCCAGACAAAGAATTCGTACATTACTTAATTCATGGTCTTCAATCCGGTTTTGACATATTTTTCGGTGATGATTTTCACATGGACACGTCATTTGAGTGTAAAAATTTAAAATCTGCAATGGAGGATCCAAGTACAGTAGATGAACTCCTTGAGAAAGAAGTACAGAAAGGTTTTGTTAAAGGTCCTTTTGACAGTTTAGAATTCCCTACTTACAGAGTAAGTCCATTGGGTCTTGCAACAGGCAAATACTCGGGGAAAAAACGTTTAATTTTGGACTTGTCTTCTCCTCACCAAAAGGAAGATGTGGATAGTATCAATGACTTGATAGACAAAGAAAAGTGCTCGTTAAAATATGTGAAAATTGATGACGCCATTAACAAGATCAAAGAACTTGGAAGAAATGCAATTCTATGTAAAACCGATATTAGTGATGCTTTCAAACTTATTCCAGTGACATCAGAACAGTGGCATTTGTTGTGCGTTAAATGGAGAAATAAATACTATTATTTTGTCCGCTTACCTTTCCGCAGCAGAAGTTCACCCAAGATTTTTGACCATTTGTCACAAGCAATAGTATGGATTGCCCACAATAACTATGGAATTTCTTATATATTTCACTTTTTAGATGACTTTCTGACAATTGACAATCCAGGATATATTGGTGAAAGAACGATGGCTATCATTTGCACGCTATTTAAGAGGCTTAATATCCCCCTTTCATGGAAGAAGACAGAATGTCCAACATATTGCTTGGAATATTTGGGAATCATATTGGACACAGAAAAGATGGAGGCCAGACTGCCCTTGGAGAAGATTGATAGGATTAGATCTTTTATAACCGACTTCTTGAAAAAGTCCTCAGTAATGAAAATACAATTATTACAGTTACTGGGCCATTTCAACTTTGCCGCCAAAGTGATACGACCGGGCAGAGCCTTTACATCCTACCTCATAGCTTTATCCACAACAGAAAACAAACTACATCATTATGTAAAGTTCTCAAAACAAAGCAGAGAAGATCTGCACATGTGGTTAGTCTTCTTAGAGAAATGGAATGGTGTTTCAGTTTTCTACGAAAGAAATCTAACAAGTAATGCAGATATAGAACTGTATACTGACGCTTCTTCGACGCTAGTATTTGGAGGTTATTTTCAAGGCAGATGGTTTTTGGAGCCCTGGCCACAGGAATTAACCACAACATTGAAACAACCCATCTCGATAGCATTCAGAGAACTTTATCCTATTGTGACAGCGGCCATATTATGGGGGGATATGTGGTCCAAGAAAAGAATTTTATTTCACTGTGACAATGCAGCAGTTGTAGAAATCATAAACAAGAGAAGGTCTTCGGATCTTCCCATTTCTAGTTTAATGAGAACACTTTGTTATAGAGCTGCATTACACAATTTTGATGTATACAGTGAACATGTGCCTGGAAAAAACAATATAATTGCTGACTCTCTTTCTCGATTACAGTTGAAGCGATTCCGAGCAGCTGCACGCAGGCGGACGAAAAGGCTACTCCAGTTCCTCCAATATCCCTCGTAATGTGGAACTTCAGCAAGTAGTGGACAATTTGTGGGAAAACGCGATAAACTCGAATACAAGACAAGAGGCCCATGGGCCTTATAGGTCACCTGAGCATCATGCAACACAACAACTTTCAAATGATTGAATTTGGTTCATGTTTTAAGCTAGATGCTATGGCATTCACAATTTTGTAAGAGGTACCATTGCTAATCATAATTATACACTTACAATTGTTTAATTTGTTTACTTAATATGGATAAGCAGGGTAGGGGAACAAAAAAGTATGTCAACTAATCAGTAATATTAAGCAATAATCAGGAGTGCTCCTACCACACATGAACCCCTGACCCTAGGTCTACACATTGCATAATTTTTGAAAAGGCACACTTGCTTATCAAAAATGTTTGTTTAATACCAAGGAGCAGATTTCAAACAATTCATTTTCAGTATATAAGTAGACCCCCCCCTTCCCATTTTGGTATCCCTGACCCAGGGGCCTTGAAATTCACAATTCTGAAAGAAGAGCCCATCCCAGCATAACTATGTAAAATAGTTCATTCGGCTTATTACCCAGGAGTAGAGAAAAAAATTTTCATAGATGCAATGTATTTTCACCATATAATCATTATACAGCCACATCCTAACACCATAACCCCTGACTCTGAGGCCATAAAATTCACAAATTGGTAGAAGCATTCTTGCTCATCATAATTATGTCCTTAATAAGAAAATTTAATACCCAGAAGCAGAGAAGAAGATTTTCAAAGATTTAATGCATTTTCACTATATAATCAATAGAGCCCCGCCCTAACACCAGAACCCCGGACCCTGGGGCCTTGAATTTCACAATTTTGGTAGAGGTACTCTTGCTCATCATAACTATGTACTTAGTTAGTTTATCAAATACTCAGGAACAGAGAGTAAGATTTTCAAAGATTTAATGCATTTTCTCTATGTAATCAATAGAGCCCTGCCCTAACACCAGAACCCCTGACCCTGGGGCCATGAATTTCACAAATTTGGTAGAGGCACTCTTGCTCATCATAACTATGTACTTAGTTAGTTTATTTGATACATAGTAGCAGAGAAGAAGATTTTCAAAGATTTAATGCATTTTCACTATTGTAGCGAATTATTATGTAACTATGATTTGTTTATATAACATTGCTCCTCGCGAGCAATGGGTTTTTGTTTACATTGCATTGCTCCTCGCGAGCAATGGGTTTTATGTATAAATATAGGAGCGATTTTAGACAGACAGTCAGTCAGTTTTTCATATTCATTACGATCACTTCGGACAATTTTTATTTGGATTTTTATACTTACTGTGTTTATGTTATTGCGGATTTTAAAATGTGAATAAACAGTAAACTTGATTACTTGCGTATCATTTCAAGAATATTCATTGGAAGAAATGGAAAACACTGAAGAGTTATTCCCCTTAGACCGTATCGGAAAAACATTACAAATGGTGGCAGCCGGTGGGATTTAACAATTCCGGTGGGATTTAATAATTCCGGTGTGATATGACGATTCAAATGGATTTCTGATAATGTGTCTATATTCTTGGAGTGATTTCTGTGTAAATTGGATTAATTCGTGAGCAGGAATTAAAGCCTGAACACAGTGATTTAAAACGGAATTAAAATTTTAGTGAATTCTGTGAATTTGTGAATAATTGATTCTGTGTGGAAAAAAAAAACTCGGGAAATTTCGACTTTCTTTGTGTGCAGATGGATTAAAAAAAAAATGTCTCTACCAGGCAACCGGACAAGATACGTTAATATTTACGATGTTGATGAAAGTGGGAACTATATTTTCGTTCGAACGGAGGATGCGTCAAAACGGAAGGAATGTCCGAATTGTTTTGTGATGTTCATAAAAAGTGAGAATATTCATTACATTTGCAAACAAAGTGGAGAAATCAGCAAGTATTACAAATGTTTTGCGTGTGGATGCAGGATTAAAGCGTTTTTGTGATTATTGTGACTTTATGTGATTTTAGTTATTATTGTGTGCGGAAATATATCAAACATGGAACAAACTACGTATTCACCTAGAGATATGGAATTGACCGGAGACGCGAGTGATAGTCCTATAGCCGAAACACCAAGAAGTACAAGGAATATTCCGAGAAGGGAATATGGTTCATCAGCAAGACGAAATTTAATGGTGAATTTTAATGAGGCGGAGAACGTTAATTCGCCTATTCATGCAAGTACTCCTGCATGTTCAGAGCCGGACCAACAGACCGATTTTAATCAGGAATCCAGTGAAAGCGAAACTTCACAATGGAAAAACTTCATGTGTTTATGGGGTTTGGTATTTCTGGCAGGAACTGTAGGTTTATACCTTTTGTATAAATATTTCCCAGGATATATGCTGCTATGCCTAACACGGGAATTTCTGATGACAGGAACACTGGCAATCTTGTGCGTTATACTTATTAGTATTATTTGCAAGCTGGCATTTAGAGATGATCTTGTAAGTGGGCGCAACAGAAACACAGAAAGGAATTTAACATCAAGGACCCCTATACCACGACGAACTCCAAGTCTCTCGCCAGGCGTTAACCAGAATGTAATGTCAGGTGTTCAACCCTCCCTATCTAGGGTTCCCAATACAAGGAATACACCAGCGCAACAGATAAATGTGAAAAGAACATTTAAGGGAGATGGCACAGATATTTGGAGTGAATACATACGATATTTTGAAAATATTTCAGAACTAAATGGCTGGGATAATGACAGAAAACGCAAGGTATTTTTCACAGTGTTGCGGGGACAGGCTGAAACATTCTGCTACGGATTATCCGATTCCGAATGGAGCGACTGGAAACTGTTAACAGAGTCAATGAACCGGAGATTTGGTCACATGGCTATGAAAGAGAGCTACATTACGGAAGCAAAGTTGCGATTTAAGAAGCATGGCGAGACTTTCCGAGATTTTGGACAAGCTATCCAAGATTTATACAGACGAGCTTATCCGGAAAGCAGGGAATATGTACAGGAAGCTAGTCTCAAGACTTTCCTTGACAACTGTAGTGAATCAGAGGAATTTCGTATAGCTGTTAAGAGAACACGACCAAAGACTATTGATGAAGCGGTTACAGCAGCAATGCAGGAAGAGTGCATTAGACTCACAGAACCGGAAACCTCGAGATCAAAGGATCATGAAACCCCCAGTTTACCAGGTATGGTCAAATTCTAAATTAAGACGGATATGCTAAAACCGGAAATTAAGACGGAGTCACAAAAATAGAATACAACCTATGCTAGAGCCACAGGATTTATCAAATAAAAAATAGAACCAAAAAATAAATACTTTATTCCGGACAAATAAATACAAATCAAATACAAAATGGTTTTATACATATGGAGTATTTACCAAATATCTCGTTATGAAAGTAATCGGTTGACTATAACACGACAATTTCAATAGTGTGACGACAAACATCGGTACGAATTATCAAGCGAGGGACAAGAAATTGTGCTATCATTGTAACTGCAGCAAACAATGTCAACACTTACAATCATCAATAACTTCTGCGCTTTTGTCCTCAAAACCTGCTTTTCTAGAAACAGTTTGAAATGCATGACAAACATCACTCCAAGAAAGAAATCTAATTGATATCAACACGCCAACACTTTAAATTAATATGTTAGGTAATAATCATAATTATTATGTTTATTTATCAATTAAAGAAAAATGTTATGCAAAACACAGGTCCGATGCGCCTCGGGACTTACTTACACAAAAATAGACAATAGGATCTTACCTGAAGTATGAATCAGGCGCTGACGATATTTGATTTTCAAATTGTTGATTATACCCTGGTCCATTGGTTGTAGTATGCTCGTTGTAGGTTGTCAAAAATTTACGTTTTTCTTTTAGAAATCTGCGGTCATGAGTTCGTATCCATTCTTCAAAAATAGAGCAGGTTACGGAAATTAAACGAAAATTTTCCAATGACAAGGCAACACAGGTGTAAAATAGCGGTCTTTACAATCTTGCAACAGGCTTAATCCGCTTATTGATTAAGTCTCATGCGAACGGACCGGTGACGTTTTCGTGATGGACTGATTCCTGTAGATTCGTAATTTTTAATTATCTCTTCTTTGTTTTTCAAAATTGTACTAAGAGATTCGGTAAAATATCAAACCTTGAGAGGCCACCTCTTTCAACTTCTCTAATGATCATATTTAGTCTCTATTGAAATTGCTTTCCGCTATGCACTGACAGGCTTTAACCTAGGACATTGTTGTGAATCTCAAATAAGAATTTTAAAGTAAAGAACACAACACACCTGAATAATTGGCTTATTTTTGTCGTAAGCCCGTCCAGATTTTGTAATGAAAAATATTCGTTATACTAATAAAGAAATGTGTTAAAATATGTCAAAAATCATTCCGTTATAGAAATTCGTTATAGCCGTGTTCGAACTCTGCCGGGACTTGAAAAAAAATTCGCTAGGAAAATGTGTGACGACAGGTAAATTATCAAGCGAGGTGCTATCATTGTAACTCAAGTCAACACTTAATCCGAGATTGTCCAAAGAACGCAACTTCAAAGAAAATGCAAAACACAGGTGCGACTTTCCAAAAGAGGAAGAATCAGGAAACACCCGAGCAGCAGTTAAACGACATTCGACCGAGGCAGTAGGCCATGTGTCGGTCACAATGCACCACAGGCCTAATACATTGGATTTGCAACATTCCGTTTCAGAGAACAGGGAGACTAGAAATGAAGCTAAATTGCTTGAGAAGCTTTCTGTGGTAAACTCCGAGGAAGGAGAATCTCCAGTTTTTAATAAGGAAGCGGGTGTAAATGATGCAACGCACATCGGTGTAAACTCCAAGCAGGGCGAGGACCGGAAATTTAAGGTTAAAGGATCCTGTGACATGAGGATCAATGGATGGGTAGAAGGGACTCCCCTTGAATGGAAAATCGATACAGGTGCGGTTAATACCTTTATTACGGAAGATACATTTTACAATATCTTACCGGAAATTAGACCTGTGCTGGAACGCGTGCAGAAGAAATTTCACATAGCTGATGGAAATGAATTACAGA